AAAAGCAATGGAGGCTGGTTGGTCGTTGGCCTTGACTCGGTGAACAATGGAGGCTGGTATTGGCTGTTTATAAATAAGTCCCTCCTGGAAGAAAGGAGGGGGGTGGGGGTGGGGGTGGGAGGAGGGAGGAGGGGGAAGGAGAGGCAGGGTTGGGAGGGGGAGAGGGAGGGAAGAGGGGAAAGGGAGTGGCAGGATGGGAGGAGGGGGAAGAGAGATAGGGAGGGAGGGGGTGGGGGTGATAGAAGGGTATAAGGGGGTGAGGGGAAGGTAGAGGGAGGGTAGGGGAAGGGAAAGGGATAATGAAGAAGGGAGAAAGGGAGGGGGAGCAAGAGGGAGGCATAAAAGATTTCTCAGAATTATTGCCAAAGATAATGACTTTGTAATCACAATCACTTCTTTTCTATCTCATTCTTTCTCCTTCACTTTCTCTTTTTTTCTTTTTTCTCTCTCTCTTTTCTTTTCTCATTCTTGTTCTCTTTTCTCATCTGCTTCTCTTTCTTGTTTAACTCACTTTCACCTCTTCTCCTGTTATATATATTTTTATTGTTTGTATTAATGTGTTTGTGTGTGTGTGTGTGTTTGTGTGTGTGTGTGTGTGCCTGTGTCTGTGTCTGTGTCTGTGTCCGTGTCCGTGTGTGTACGCGTGTGTGCGCGTGTGTGCGCGCACGCGTTATTTATGCCTGTGTGCACGCGTGTGCACCTCCTCATGCGTGTAGTTACGGATGCAAGCACGAACGCACAGTCTGTCTCCTTGTAACTTGAGATATTATCCAAGAGCGAAACAGTGCATGATCATTCAGACTACGCCTGGAGGTTACGTACAATGCATGACCTCTTAAAAAATGAACCGGGTTAACCAGTGTATGACCGGTGTTTGGTGCATGACAGGTTGAGTATGACATTGCAGGAATAGCATGGGAAAGATGTCGAAGTGCCGGGTCGAAAAAGGTACCTGGGAGAGGACGTCAAATCATGCAGGTGGTCTGGCAGATTGCATGACGGGAATCTGAAGGCAGGGTGATGGATGTGCAGGCCTAGGTGTGTGCAGGCCTACTGTGGGGTTTGGGGGTTTGGGGGAAAGGGGGGGGGGTGTTATTGGGGAAGTGAGCATGTAGGCCTATGAGTGTGTTTCATAGGTCCCTTGTGTATGTTATGTTGGGGAGGGGAGGTGTTTGGTGGGGAAGCGAGTATGGGGGGGAGGGGATTCGACGGCCGCAGCATAACACTCCGTATGACTGACTCGACCTCCCCCTCCTCCTCTCTCCCCCTCTCCTCCCACGCTGCTCAGCAGGGAGTCCTGCGGGCCGAGTGACGCGCCGTCGCGTGGCCGCCTTCAAGCGCTCAGGTAGGCCGCATGACAGGCCGCATGACAGGTCGCATGCCAGGCCGAGTGGCAGGCCAAGTGGCAGGCCAAACGGTACTGTTTTACCCGTGTCGTGACAGGCTGCCCTTGTGCTTAGTCGTCGTGGTGTCGCCCTCCTTGGCCTTCTCCTCTGGTCTTCCTGCGTGGCCTCTTGAGTTTTCCTCCTCTCCTCCTCCTCCTTCTCCACCACCACCACCGCCTCCACCTCCTCCTCCTCCTTCTCCACCTCCTCCTCCTCCTCCTCCTCCTCCTCCTCCTCCTCCCCCCCCCTCCTCCTCCTCCTGCTGCTCCTGCTGCTGCTCTTCCCGCCTCTTCCTCTGCCTCCGCCGCCGCCTCCACCTCCTCCTCCTCCTCCTCCCCTCCCCCTCCCCCCTCCTCCTCCGCCTCCTCCTCCTCCTCCTCCTGCTGCTCTTCCCGCCTCTTCCTCTGCCTCCGCCGCCGCCTCCACCTCCTCTTCCTCCACCTCCTCCCCCTCCTCCTCCTCCCCCCCCCTCCTCCTCCCCCCCTCCTCCTCCTCCTCCTCCTCCTCCTGCTGCTCTCCCCGCCTCTTCCTCTGCCTCCGCCGCCGCCTCCACCTCCTCTTCCTCCACCTCCTCCCCCTCCCCCCCCCCCTCCTCCTCCTCCTCCTCCTGCTGCTGCTCTCCCCGCCTCTTCCTCTGCCTCCGCCGCCGCCTCCGCCGTCTCTAACTTGACCTCCTGACCTTCCCCTCGTCCTTTTTAGTATGTTTGTTTTCTTTCCCCCCGTCCAGATGTCATGTCCTCCCACGCAGTTGTAAAGCCTTTCCCACACATGAGAATCTGTTGTCTCCCTCCTCCCCCTCCCCCTTTCTTTTCCCCCCCTCCCTACCCCCTCTCTCTCCCCTCCCCCTCCCTCCTCTCTCTCTCTCTCCCCCTTCCCCCTCCCCCTCCACGCCACGAGTTACAATTCCCATGTTTGATTTTGTCTTTTTTTTAACCATTGTTGTCATTTCTTTCTCTTTTTTTTGCGTTTTACGACAGTCCTTTCATATTTCCGTTGTCTTTTTTCGTTCTCCCTTCGTTATTTTCCATTTCTTTCGTTCTAAGCTGTATTCTTTTTATTTATTTTTTCCTTTATAAGGGATGTCTTTCAGAAGGAATCCGATTCGATTTTGTTTT